CTGAACATGGTTACTTCAAAGTCGGTAGAAACTACTCCTTATGAGATGTGGAAAGGGCGCAAGCCCAGTTTCTCACAGTTTCGAGTATGGGGTAGTCCTGCACACTTGTTAGTGCATGATGCTGGCAAGTTGGAGAAATGTTCGGAAGCACGAAAGGTGGATTATTTTATAGTCCTGAGGATCAGAAGGTGATCATTAGCATGAACGCTAGATTCATGGAATAAAACTATATTATTAATCACAAGCCCGCGAGTAGACTAGTATTAGAGGAGTTGAGGGGCGAAGTCGATAGTTCCCCACCGAGTGTGCAAGTAGATACATCAGATAATACTGCAACACGACACACTAAGAGTGTACCAGTACAGACAGTACCTCGTCGTAGTGGGAGAGTTTCTCAATTACCTGACCGATGGATAGGTCTTGAAGAGTCTAAGGGCTCAGTTCCAGGAAACCTAGAATCGGACCCAAGAACCTACAACGAGGCACTCCAAGATAAAGATGCCGAATCATGGAATGTTGCAATGAATGCTGAAATGGGGTCAATAAACTCTAATCAGGTCTGGGATCTTGTAGAACCACCCAATGGAGTACGATCCATTGGATGTAAGTGGATCTACAAGAGAAAGAGAGGATCAGATGGAGAGGTGCAAACCTTCAAAGCTAGGCTTGTTGCGAAAGGTTATACCCAGATTGAGGGTATAGACTATGATGAGACCTTTTCGCCAGTAGCTATTCTTAAATCCATTCGGATTCTCTTGGCTGTAGCTGCTCATATGGACTATGAGGTATGGTAGATGAATGTCAAGACGACTTTCCTTAACGAAAACCTTCAGGAGGACATCTATATGCAGCAACCAGATGGATTCATTGCAAAATGACGTGAGCATCTAGTGTGTAAGCTTAATCTGTCCATTTATGGATTGAAGCAAGCTCTGATATCTTGGAATATTCGATTCGATGAGGTGATCCATTCGTACGGGTTCACTCAATGTCCGGATGAACACTGTATGTACAAGAAAATTAGTGGAAGCGTGGTGTTGTTTCTTGTGCTGTACGGGGATGACATACTTGTTATTGGAAACAGTAAGAAGGAGTTGTCAGACGTAAATGTGTGGTTGTCTAAGAATTTTGATATGAAGGACTTAAGAGAAGCAGAACACATTCTTGGTATTAGGGTCGTACGAGACTGTAGAAGAGAATGTTGTGCTTACCCAGTTATCATACATAGATACTGTCTTGGCTAGGTTCAGCATGCATGATTCCAAGAAAGGTACCTTGCCTTTCAGGAAAGGAATCCCTCTCTAAGGAGATGTCTCCTAAGACCCTCAAGAGATTGAAGACATGAAGACAGTTCCTTATGCATCGGAAGTAGGAAGTCTTATGTATGCTATGCTTTGTACCAGGCCATATATCAGCTACGCCGTTGGCTTAGTAGCCAGAGATCAAAGTAATTCGGGTAGGGAACATTGGTCTACGGTGAAGCATATACTCAAGTACTTGAGAAAGACTAAGGAGTACATGTTAGTTTACCGTGCAGACAGTTTGTTACCTCTGGGTTATAGCGATTCTGATTTCCAGTCAGATAGGGACGAGAGTAAGTCAACCTCTGGTTATGTGTTTACCTTGAGAGGTGGAGCCATTTCATGGAGGAGTGCTAAGCAGAAATGCGTGGCAGACTCCACCATGGAAGCCGAGTTCATAGCAGCCTCAGAGGCTGCGAAAGAGGTAGTTTGGCTCAGAAACTTCTTAGTGGACTTAGAGGTGATTCCGAGTTTGCCACATGATATCACCGTATACTGTGATAACAGTGGAGCAGTGGCAAACTCAAGGGAACCATGAGCCCACAGAGCAAGTAAACACATAGAGCGCAAGTACCATCTGATCCGAGAGATAGTTGGTAGATGAGACGTTGATGTTGATGTTACCAAGATTGCATCTGAGGACAATCTAGTTGATCCTTCCACGAAGAGTTTGCCGGAGAAGGTCTTCGTCAAACACGTGACAAGAATGGGAGTCAAGTGCATGGCGATAGGATCGACATAGGTCTTTTTATTTTAACGGATTTATATGACTATACTTGTAAAAGCGAAAGCTTTAAGTATAAGTGAGAGATTGTTAGTGTTATATACTGAAAGCTTGACTTTGGATGATATTACACTTTTACCCTTTATGAATGAGAAACATGTTAGATTAAACAAGTTATACGTTCTGTTGTTTTGCATTAGATAGTGTGGGTCGTCATCGGGCAAACCGAAGATCATGCTGTCAGTTACTCGCGAAACAAGAATAAGTGGTTCACAACCCAGATGGACATGAACACCCCATCGTGAACGGTTGTAGTGTCAATTGTATAGTTTGTCTTCACTAATTAGTTGCACTAGTACATTTATGTATTGAACAGGATCCCAGAGAGGAGCAGTTCGTTTTGTACTGATCGTCGTAAACAAACTAGGCCTCGATTAATTACTGCGTACTCTTAACCCGTACGATATTAAACATACATATATGTGTAGTATTTATTACTTTGATTCACATGGGTGAGGCTTAGTGAACTGGGCCAATAGACCCGTTGTCTTGGGTAATATTGCTACATGTAGGATGTGATGTTAGGATATTTACGGTCACCATGTGCGTTAGTTTGATGATGTCCCCGGAGTGAGTTCATGAAAGATTATTATGCTAAACCCTGCAAGTGGATTAAATTCTGGCATAGTAATATTGTGATGAACGAGCGCTAGCTTCGCTGAAATAATATAAATTAATTAATTATTGATTGTCAGTAATCGAATTAATTAATGGACATTATATCTTAAACATGGGGAGATAAATTGAGTAATTATTATTGGAGTCTCAATTGTAAATTGGGCTAGAAAAAGGGAGTGCAATAATATTATGTTGGGGGCCCATTTAATATTATATATTTATTAAAATAAGTGGCTTGGTCCACAAGTATTTTAATTAATTAAGGAACCCTAATGCTAATCTCCTAAGGATCCCTACTGTAGCTCTATATATACATTATTAAGCTCATTGGAAGAGAATAGAATTCCACATTCATGGAAATCATGCCCCACGCCTCTCTTCTCTCTCTCAGTTCCCATTCGAGCTTTATCTTCTTCTTGTTGTTCCACTGGTACAAGATTAAGAGGTGTTTGAGATATACAGTAGAAGACCTTTGGGTAAAGTGAGACAAAATATATTTGGTCGTACAGAACTAACCGAAGGTCCGATCAAGATGTGCATCATACCCAGACGACCGTCTCGACGAGACTTTCCAACGCCACCGAGATCGCAGCCGTCCGACCACTCACGTGCCCGCACGTGCCGCCGCAAGGTCCCAGGACTGCAACTTGTCTTCATCCATTTTGCACTCGTTTGATCCGGTTTTCGATTCGATCTTGTTCGTGCAATCCTAGGACGCGATTTGTAGTCAACAATTCTTTGGTGTGTTGTGTACGGCCATCCACAAGATCAGCCAGATCGTCATATATTTTAAGCTGTAAGTTCTCTACGCAAACCTTTAGATCCGCTGTGCATAGGTTTACGTTTTGCTATTGAATTCGTGATTTGTGCATAACGAGATCTTCATTGATCCCAACAATTACCTTTAATGAGCTTGACTTTAATTACCTACCAGTACAATATCCGTGTATTATATGGGTGATTGTTAAAAACATTATTCTTAAATTTTAAAATTAATGAGAAAAATTATTTTAAATTTTATTTACCTTTTTTAAAAAATAGATATTATTATATAGTTTAGTATGATACTTGTTACTTGTGCGACTTAAATGTGTTATATTATAGGAATATTTTAACTTATATCATATAACTACTAGAAATATATATATATATTAATTGATAATATGAATTTCTAATGAATATTAAACAAAATTATTATTGTTATAAAGATAAATATACTTTTTCTATACATACAATATGGATGTTGAATCGAAGTTCATCAAGAGATGATTAATTTGATATATTATATATGTAAAACTGATAAAAAATATAAAAAATTATTAACTTTTAAAATGCATTTACAATTTAATGGTAATAATAAGAAATGATATTAAAATACAATTAATACATGTAAGATGACCATAAGTAATCAACATATTTATGGATAATCCGAACCTAATTATTTTTGATAGGAAATAAATTAAAATCTACCCAAACCTAATAACAAAATATGTAATTTTGCCACATAGCATCCCGAAGCATGAGAGTCTGCCACTTAGACTCAGCACGTTCTGAATTAATATATAGGGAGAATTCTGTCAAGGAGATGAAGGGGGGTGGAAATAAAATTACATGGACAAATATACCCTTCTTTATTATGTAATATTATATTTACAAGACATAAAACTTAAATATAATATTTATACAAAAAATATCCTATAGTAACATAAATAATGACATAAATTCAGGTATAATACATCATAGTCTTCTTATTTCACACATTACATCACATTTATAATCGTATAAAATGATTTTTTATTTAAATCTCCCACCCAACTCCAACTCCCGTAGGTGCATATATTACTTTTATGAGTCAAATGTGAGTTAAGTTAATGTAAAAGTCAGATATTTTGGTGCAGAACATTCTCTATTTTCTTCTTATATTCATCCTTTTATATTTACCACAAAATAATAAATACATATTTCATAAAGGCAGATAACTTGATCCAGACTGCTAACTTACACCATTCAACCAAGGAAACAGAGTACCATACACTAGTGTCTCAGGATTGAATATAAGTATAAAATGTCATACATAAACATAGCAAAATCATATTAAATCCTACAAACATCCGTACGGCCATAATCGCATCAAAATACACAAAATAATTCCCCTCCTTCAGTCAAGCTATTTTACTCAATTAGTTCTCAAAACATACAAAAGCGAGAGATTCTTCAACCACAATAACAACATAAAATTCAAATGAACTAACTTGAGTTTAAAAATTCCAAAACATGTGAATACACATAACAAAAGCTCACAATGGTGGATTGGATGGGCCAAACATCATTCTCATGATAAAATCCTTACGAGCTTCTGATGGACATTGAACAACACATCGAAGTTTGTCGGTGTCGTTCATAAGATAGCAACAAATGTCAGTGAGTAAATTACTTTCAAACCCGCATTCATTAATTAAAGCCCAAGTCTCTTCGCCATAAATTGAGGGAACTTTACGAGAGTACATGTCTTTGAATAGCTCATTACCTTCTCGTAGCGCAGTGGCAACGTTATCTATTGTTCCTTTCATAATCTCAAACTCGGACGCTTTATCCTTTATTGCATCTTTCTTTTTTCGTTTCTTACTAGATGCTCTAGTATTTGCCCCCTTTGAACCATGTTGAGTAGATAAACTGAAGATATCATTCTCCACGTCAATAGAATTCCAATTATTCTCCAAGACAACTTTGTTTTCAGATACAGGATTGTCAACCTCATCGATTGTTGTGGTAAATAGATTCTCAGTAGATGAAGCTCGCCTCTTGCTCATCTCAAATGCAGTCTCCGCATCCTCACAAGTTGCTCTATCATTTCCATATAAAAATCTCAATGTTGCTGCCTTTGGTTTCGTCTGTTAAGAAAAAAACATAAAGAATATATAGAATTAAAGTACAAGTTGACACACATGATAATAAGACTGATACACATGAAATATTAATTATTACAAATCTCAATCAAAGCACCACATACTTGTGGCTCCGCATCCCATTGTTTTGTAGTAGGATTCCAAGCAAACCCGCTCATTGTAGTACTATTAAAAATATCATAGACTTCTAAAAATTTGTTTTTCAAAGTTTTCCATCGATTTTTCACTTTTTCCTTATCAATATTCTTTCCAAACAGCGCACTACCAATGTTCACATATGCAGTACTAGTGAAAGTACCATTAACTTTATTACCACAATTATATTCATTAACAAAAACATCAATGAGAGCATCATACATACTTCGTGTCCAAATTAAGTTCTCTTCCCCTGAGATATTTGGACTTGAAGACTTCTTGGGACCCATTTCTACAAAGTTAAACAAATGAGACATACACATTAGAAATAAAACCAAAAACTTAAATGGTAGCAATTCCAACCACAAAAGATAACACTTTATTACTCAAAACATCTCATATAAATAAAAGCAATCAAGTTCAAACAAACAAATAATTAAGACAATGCGTTCAAGTCAACTACCAAACAAACTCACTGAAATTGTGCAAACCAAACAATATGAATTATCAAGTTCATAATCTAACCACATCTCCTTTGCTATACAATCCCTTATAAACTCTCCCCGAGCACCCTCTTCGCTATCTGATCTGATAACATAACTATCATCTTCAGTTGGATTTTGTCTGGCAAGTTCATCATCTACCTCACCAGTAAGTTCTTCATTAGGGTCCACACTCATTAGATAATTATGAAGAATGCAACATGCAACAATAATGAATTTCTGGGCTTTCACTCCAAAATTAGGTTATGCACCCGGAGATAATATTTCAAAACGCTTTTTCAGTACACCAAAGGCTCTTTCAATTGCATTACGTAAGGATGCATGACGAAGATTGAACAATTCCTTAAAAGTTAATGGTGGTTTTTTCGTCGAATATTCTTTCAAATGATACCAAACTCCTCTATAAGGTGTAATCAGTCCACTCGTTAACTTGAATCCAGCATCCACAAGATAATATTTTCCTATAATTATAACAAAAAATTATAATTCTTAATATGAGAAATTATTGTGTCATAATAGATAAAGTTATATATAATACATTTTTAGATTACAACTCCAATGACCTTCAGGGATTTTTTGTCTATCTTCTCTCCTTAATACATTTTTAATAATTCTTGAATCGGAGGCAGTGACTTCCCATCTGGAAAGCACATATGTGAATTTTAAATCGAATGTACAAGCAGCTAAGACATTTTGTGTTGGAATCCCTTTCCCTCACGATAACGAGGTGCATCTAATTTAGATACCTTTACACATATATGAGTTCCATCAATAGCACCATCACAATCCTGACAAATTAAATTATTATTAATTAAAAAGGAAAAAATAAAGTTTAACTAAATTTATTCATTAACGACAAACAATTACCTTAAAATAAGGATATAACCAACTACTGTTATGAATTTCGTCTGGTACGGTCGAACCATCAGGCTGTACAAGTAATTTATCTCCACACTTCCCTCAATACTTGATGGAAATGTCGACTAATCGTTTCACCAGAACGTCGAAACCAAAAGTTCACCTCACGATTCTTTGCTTTATGCGTTAATATGTATAATGTTTTGGCAACTTGTTCTTCCACGCTTGACCATCGCGTAGGTTTTAGCCCACCCTCTCTTTCTAACATAGCACATAAGCTCAGGAAAGTTCTTGGACTCATCCTAGTAATATTCTAACTATCTTTATTATTAGTAATCCTGTAAAGTATTTCCTGACGCGTCTTTTCTCTCTTTGAACTCATGCTATAAGTAATCTTTTTTTTAGAGGGAGCCTCAATGCACCAATAAAAGGCAATATGCATATTAGGTGGGCCGCAACTCTCCGGCGAAGATCGTACCATCTTTCTTCAAAGTTATTTATACTTGATGCAACCATATAGAGAAAAAGTTAGCTTTAAAAAGGTGTTACCCTTTAACACATACTATCAAACAAATATTTGCTATACGGGTTCCGAAATTATATCAAGCAATTTTTTTCCAAAAATATAATCATATTTTAGTCACCAATACTATACTCTTTACATATATATTTGTATACTACTGAAAGTGGAACTCCAAATAATGTGACTCAACCTATCCAATATTTATGAGAACTGCACAGAGGTTGTCAATAATTATCAATATCAGATTAAATTAATACATGGTTATGGAGATGCACAAAAATGTAAGATATAGAACCATCACTATGGAGCACATCACAGAACAGAAGAAAAAAAATAGAAAAAAGAAAAAAAAAAGAGATATGACTAATTTAAACATACTCTATTGTCAACTTCAAAAGCCAAGAAAACGAGGATCCAACTTTTACCATACTACACTTGTATTCAGTTTACTGAATTCATTACTTATGTAGCCATGGAAAATGAATTCAGTTTTCTTGTTTGTACAAATGCACCTAATGATAACAAATAAACATAAATTACCAACTGATGTTTTTACTCAAACATGTACAGTATCACTTATTACAGAAATGATAAAAATCAGTGACAGAGATAAAAATCAATGACATAAGTAATGAATTTTGAAATATCAATAAAATCAGTGAAACTATACAAATCAATCATTGACAAAAATAAAAATCAATCATTACAAAAATAAAATCAGTGACCATATGATTTTTACAAATAGTTGAAGATAAAAAAAAAAAAATTGCAACTCAGTGACATAGAAGAACATATAGTAGATAAAATCTTAGAGAGTAAAATACATTTTTCGTCATGTATGTTTACCCATCTAAACATTTTAGTCCTCTTCAAATTGCATTTTTGATTTTCATCCCGTATGTTTAAAAAAAGGTTACAGAAATGTCCTTTTCGCAATAAAAAGGTCCTTTATGTTTTGCAATAAGAACGAAAAATGCATTTTACTCAATCTTAGAGGAACATAGAAGAAAGAGATCATACATCAACAATTTTTACAAGAACATACGATTTTCATCTGGAATGAAGAAGTTTACCAGAATTTTTGTTGCTGCCCAATCCCTCGACTCTTCTCGCATACGGCGGTGCTATTCGGTTGAGTGCGAAGTGAGAATTGAGAAGGGTTAGGTTTTATTTATATTAGGTAATTTTATAATTATAATGAATTGATAAGGGCATATTAGTACAAAAATCTTGTAAGATTTCACTTCCCCTCCAAATTCCACAAAATTGGAGGGGATCTGTTTTTCCCTCAGTTGGGAGAATGGAGGGGAAAATTCTACTCCCCTTCCTTGCCAAAGTTGAACCAAATGGTGGAAAATAAAAATATTCCCTCACCTCCCTTCCCCTCCCCTCCCCTTCCCCCGAACCAAACATAGTGTAAAATTTCATAAGTATCCAATATGGACTTCTTAAAGACCCATAAAAGCACGAGTTTCACTTTCTTTTCAAATCTTTTGGATTTGTCATTTATTTGGATTTAGATAGATTCGACTATTAAATTATACTCCCTCCTTTTTTATATACATGTCGTTCTGACTTTGTTCAATTTTGTTTTAATAAATGACATTTTAAGTATCTTAATCTCATTTTTCCAATTTTATCCCCCATTCATCTCTCCATATTAAAGTCTCTCCATCTTCCATCTTTCTAGTTTCCAAGAACATCTCGTACTCCAAGACTATCAATAATTTTCACCTCACTTTATATCTTTATATTTTTGTAACGCCCCGTTATTTTAATAGAAAAATATCGAATTATTTTCTAAAATCAGAGTTAAATTTTCGAAAATCAATTTAAAAGTTAATTTAACGGGCGCTACTCTAAACACTGCACATATTAACAGTTAAGGTTACAGTTGACAAACGGAAAACAATTATCCCGACCATAATTTATCTCATGTCAACATTCAACGTACTTCAATCGATATTCAAACATTTGAAATAATCTGATAGTCATAACACAATCAAATCCCAAGTTCAAATCCCAAAAACTAACATGGTTCAATTTTCAGAAAAACAATAATAATCATACTGACAAGAGATAGATACTAAATAAAAGCCGAAGCAGATAAAACAGTTCCATAGCACATAATGACCCTCCCTCGCTCGTCTTATTGCCACGACCACCAGCTCAACCTGAAAAGATATAATAGTGGGGGTGAGCGAACACTTGCTCACCGTGGGAATACCATGCAGCATAACGAATATAAAGACTTAAAATCATAATCGCAGCATGTAAGCGAATCGACTAGTCTATCTTCCCTAAACACAGCCACGCTCATGTGATCACACCTAACCTATCAATCTCGGAAAAAGATAGGTAACAAGCCGTCCCCACGAAAAAGATGGGAGCCATCGATACGAAAAAAACGAGAGCAACCGCAGACGTACCGTCACACGGACTAAGCTCTCTAAATGCTAGAGTTAGGCCTCATAGACTACCAGTTCACATACATACATAGATTATCAAGCCAAACATTTCTATAAATTAACATACATGGTAAGTTTTTGAACACCCACCTGGTAGATGAGGTAGGCAAAGCACACAAGAAGAAGAAGAACGTAGGTCGACTCCTCACACACCTACTGTTATCATCCGACTCGGCAAAGACGCTGTTAAGAGGTCTTAAGCATCCCATTAAATGCGATCAACTATTAAACCGACGTGAATCAGAACCGCACCGATCTACACCAAAGAACCGGTTTAGACCATCAAAGACCGAAGTGATCAACGACTACCGAGGTCAACATCCACCGAGGACAACATGAACCGAGGTCGTCACCTCCTTAAGCAGGTGACAAGGCATCTACGAGGGACTCTCCTGCTCCACAAGATCTGTCATCATTTACGTGGGGCCCCCTTGCCTCAAACCGCCCATAAAAAGCCACTTTATTCAAAAAGTAGTACACGAATTCCCATGTATCAACCCGAAATTACTATAAATAGTGGGCCTATGACATTTGTAAGGGGATCTCACTTTTTCCAAATTCTCCGAACTGTAAACACTTTACTAAACAACACGTAAAAGCCCATCACGGCTCTTCACCTCGGTTCACCTCGGACCGGGGTCATTGTCGATTCTATCTTACATGCTTTACGT